AACACACAAAGGAAAACCATCCGGAAAACACACCATTTTCTATATGCGGGCTGGCTGGGTTTGTGGCCCCCTGCCTGACGTGTTTAGTCTTGCACGCGGCGTCTGGGCATTCCTGGTCCTGAGGTGCGTCCCAGATCACACGCGAGCCCACTTTGCCACCATTGCTGGTTTGATACCCCGAAATCTTGATTCAAAACGCAACCGTAACCGAAATCGGCTCGTGCAAGGTAGTGAAACAAAACAAGAAAAAGCAGCAAACCGCAACAAACAAACAAACCAAGCAAAGAAAGACAGAACAAAACAGCGAAACAAAGACAAACTACTGGAAGAACGCAAAGAACTAACAAGCAGACAACCAATGACAGCACAAACAAAAGCGAACAAGCAAGCAAACAAGCAAGCAAACAAGCAAACAAGCAAGCAAACAAGCAATCAAGCAAGCCAACAAGCAAGCAAATACACACAATCAAAAACACAAAACAGAACAACCACACAAACACAAACAACGAAAAAACAAGCAAATAATCACACAACAAACAAGCCCACAAACAAGCAAACAAACACACAAACACAAGCAACCGCACAAACACAAACAAACCAAAAGGCAAACAAACAAACAAACAAACAAACAATCAAACAATCAAACAAACAACCGCAACACACAAACACAGAAACACAGAAACGCAAACAAACAACAAAAATGCCAAACAATCAAACCCAACGAAAGCAAAAGCACAAAGAAACAAACAAACAAACAAACAATCAAACAATCGCGCACACACACATACGCAATTACCAACAAACAACAAACACGCAAACAAGCAAGTAAGCAAACAAGCAAGCAAGGAACCAAGCAAGCAAGCAAACAAACAATCAAACAAACAATCAACCAAACAATCGCGCAAACGCAAACAATCACACCAACACGAACAAACAAGCAAACAAGCAAGAAAGCGAAGAAGCAAGCAAGGAATCAAGCAAGCAAGCAAGCAAGCAAGCAAGCAAAAAACAATCAAACAAACAAACAAACAAACAATCAAACAAACAATCAAACAAACAAACAATCAAACAAACAAACGCACAAACACACAACCGCACAAGCGCACAAACACAAAGGACCACAAACACGAACAAACACGCAAACACGCAAGTAAGCGAACAAGCAAGGAATCAAGCAAGCAAACAAACAATCAACAAGCAAACGAACAAACAAGCAATCAAACAATCAAACAAACAAGCAAACAAACAATCAATCAAGCAATCAATCAAACGCACAAGCGCACAACCGCACAAACACAAACGACCACACAAACACGAACAAACACGCAAACAAGCAAGTAAGCAAGCAAGAACCAAGCAAGCAAGCAAGCAAGCAAGCAAGCAAACGAACAAACAGCCAAACAAACAAACAAACAAACAAACAATTGCACAAGCACAAACAATGACAACAACACGAAGAAACACGCAAACAAGCAAGTAAGCGAACAAGCGAGCAAGGAATCAAGCAAGCAAACAAACAAGCAAACAAACGAACAAACAAACAATCGCTCAAACAAAAAGAACCACACACACACACACGAACACACGCAAACAAGCAAGTAAGCGAACAAGCAAGCAAGGAAGCCATCACTCAAGCAAACAAGCAAACAAAAACAACACACAGACATGCAAGATACACGCCTCATTACCCTTGCCAAGGTCATTGAGGCGCCTGCAGGCCGCGACAGAGGTCGAGGTGGCGCATGGGGGCCCGAAGTCCACGCGACTGGCAACGAGCCGCGGTCGGACCAAAGGCAAAGTTTTGGATTCCGAGTTTGGGATCGTTGGATCTACCCATGGTCTTTTTCGGACCTTCGGATTGTGGGAATCTTCTGAATTTCGACTCGTTGGATTTCGAGTCGTTTGATTTTTTGTTTCGAGCGAGGCTTCAAGGATCTTCATCTCTTTCAGCCGGATTTTGGGTGAACTGCCCTCAAGGTAGATGCTGTGCAATGCCTCAACCTGGGTTGGCCTTTTCTTCCAAATGGCTCAAGAGGGGAGAGTACATCGAGGGCATTCGGGTCCCTTTCCGCAGGACGAACAAGTGAATCCATGACAGGGATGCCCACTTGATGTGTGCATAGTGATAGAGTTGAAAACCTTCCATGCTAGCATATTGATTGGCCGCTCCAGCTTAAATGGGAATCTGCAGTAGTATTCGAACATTTGGAACTCCCTTTTAAATGGCGGAAATCAACCACGTTGGAAACACAAAGTGGGCCACAGTTCAACACCCGGGTACACCATGGTTGGAAGGGGCAGGCCCAGCGGCCTCCCTTTTGATGGCTGAACTGGTGAGTCCAAATGTGGTACCGCGAAGAACCAAAAGAGGGTGGGCGGATTTCTATTCGTTTCCCTTTAAGCAACCAAAGGGGTGGGGAAGTTTGGGAGCCCGCCAAATTCTCCGTATGTTTCCCTTTAGACACCCGATGGTTTTCAAGGCCTACAAATCTTCCATTTGCTTAAGAACATGTTTTTCCCCTGTTGGTTTAAGGCGAATCTATCGCCACTGGACATATTTTCATTTTTTCCTGGGGGCTTAAGCAAATGGAGCAAATTCAATCACCAGCCACAAAACGGGGGCGAAACGAATCCGACGCCGCACTGCGCCCGGCGGTTTGTGCATCAGGTCCCGGTGGCTCTCCCAGTACTCTTTGGAGGAGCCGAAGTCGAACGCGTGTGGTTACGGCAGCGCAACCTCACCCAGCCATGGCTCTCCCTGAATTTTAGTGGTGGCCCGAAAAGTGTAGACTTTTTTTGGGCCGGTCACCTGCCAAGTGAGCAACCAAGGCAACCATGGCCAGCGTCTCTGGTTCAACTTTCAAACGTTGTTGCAGTTGATTTGCAACAGCAAACACAAATATTACCGCATCTGACGTGAATTGCAGGGTTTCCCTTGTTTCCTTTCTTCACATGAGACTTGCAGCTAGTTGCTTGCATTTAGGTTGTGTCAAGGCATATTGTATATATATATATAATATACATGTATTGCTATAGCCCATCTTGGTCGAACCAAGCGCAGCTTCGCAACATGCAGCCACATAATAGTTTGATCGTGGCTTATGTGATTTTACTCTTTGGACCGCTGAGTGTTGCTTCTGCTGACTGGATTGCCAATACTTATAGATGACAGAGCTTCTCTGGGGCCCAAGGAACACACACACACACACCTCCGCTCAATCCCTTATTCAATTTGTGTTGGCATTCCCTCTCATGAACCGTATTCTGTGGTGCCAAGGGAACCCTCTTCGAAGTGATAAATAGTCTTGGGGCTGGCCTACTTTGGCAGTACGGAAAGGGTGATGTTCCACCTGTCTCCTCCCTCTCAGTAACACGCAACCGGAAGGACCTAAGAGGAAACTGGTCTTCCAGGGCCTTCGGGCATGTCAAGTGCATGAGGTCAATGGCCTAGAGATGGAGAGACTGTAGTTGGAATGATCCAACACACCATCGACCGCTGGAATTGGGCCCCTAAAACGGTATGTTCCTCTTGCTTCCCTTCAACTACCATCTAAAATGGGGTCCGAAATTCATTTTCAGGACCTTGCTGGTGAATTCGATTAAGGTCGCGGATGAGATTCGGATCTGCCTAGCAAACAAGCCTTGAACGTATAGGTCGCCCAAAAGCTGGGTGTACAGGGAATCCCCTTCAAATACCAAAGAATCCCACCTTGGTAGAAGACAAAGGTATGTGGGTCAACCTTTGGCGCCAACCATTTTAGCCCTGGACCAAACCTGATGAAATAAGCCCTATTCGTATGGGAACTGGATTTCGTTGAATAGGGACCCTTTGGTCCGCGCAAATCTGCAGGGCAGTGTCTCCCGTGAGCTTTTCCGCCAGACAGCCCTAGTGGCGCTGAGCTTGCTGTTGCCACTCCTGGGGTGGTACCAGGCGGGAGAAACCTATGCCCCAAGTTCAGGTCTCCGACTTGGGGGGAACAAGTTGCGCTCTTTTTGTATTTTATAATATTTCATTTCAAGCGAAGAAGATAAGGTCTCCAATCTCCAACTTGCTCTCTTCTTTTTCCTCTTTGTTTGGCGGGGGCGGAGCGGTGGCTTGAAAACAGACACCGGAATTATGAGTTGCGAAGTTGCGGAGCAGAGTTGGGCCATCAGACACTTCGCGCCAAGAAAGACGACTTGTTGGGGCAGTCTGAGGGATGTTCCGGTTTTCGGGAGTCGGACAGGTCACTTGGATGAGTCAAGCTTGCTTTCCGTGGCCTTGACAAGGAAACCTACATGAGTGAATTTGTTGAACGACTGGTCCCATTAACCCGGCCGGCCCACGTGTTTAGTGTTCGAAGCTGTGTGAGTTGCTACAGTCGGCTGAAAGTCGATGGTGCAATCTTTCCGTTGGGCCTTTGTCATCCTCTTTACCGACAGGCATAAAGGGACTAGCGCCATCTACTTTCAACCTGGTCTGTGTTGTTTTTCTCAGACCCGTTCCCGTAGTGTAAAGCATTCATCACTTGAAACGGTGGCGCTAGCAGCTGCTTGGAAACAGAGAAATCCCAACATCACACACATGACTGTGGCTCAGAAAAAGGTACCAAAATGGCGCCTCGGTAAATGGAAGTAAATGGAAAGACTATAACTTGCGTAACCCTAGCTCTTGAATTTTGAGCCAAACCCACATATTACCCTAGCTCTTGAATTTTGAGCCAAACCCACATATTTTTGTGTTGAGACTCCGAAATGAGGCAAAGCTGGGGCTGTCAGATGGATCTGGCTGTCCAGTCTTCACCCCTCAGGTGGTGGGAAACCAGGTCAGTGGCAGGTTGGCTTCCGTGTAAGGGCCCTCCTATGCGGGTGATGTCTCGGGTCAAGCTGCATCCGTGTTTTCCCCAACTGAAAGCTTGGGGGTCGATAGGCCCAAATAGGCGAGAAGGGGTGGTTTGGGGCGCTGTCAGGGAAGGTTCTGGAGGGTTCCAAGGGATACCAACCACTGGGGCTTTTCTGTTCTTTGGGAGCAGGGGGGTTGAAAGATAGGGCCTCTCCGCCTTTTTGGATTTCGATGATTTTTGCCAAACAGTCGGGAAAGCCTCTTTGGTGGAAATACAAAAGAAACCGCTCACCCATCTTTACTTCTCTGCGGAGGACAAGTTTCATTTTGCACCAGTTGGGATTTGTAGTTTCTTCCATTCAACCAGGGTTTTATCCATCCCAACTGGTGCCGCTGGGATCTGGATTTAACCATGCAGGCCCGGCTGGCGGCCTATGTGGGCCTGCAGGCGCGTTTGCAAGCGTGCGTTTGCTGGGAGTCCTTGTTGGGGCAGTTTTAGAGCGAATGAAACCAAGGGGAGAAACCTATGGGGAGGCATTTTTGTTGGCCCCTACTTTAAGACACGCAGAAAAAGTTTGCCGCAGCCTGGGCGGTACCGAAGTGCAAGGATGTTTGAGCAGCTGTGGTTTACGGCCATGTTCAAACAGATGGCAACAGTAGAATAGGGTCGTCTGACATGACAACCGGTTCCTTTTAGTTATCCCAAAAAGTGTGGTGGACCCTTTTGGTGGGTAGTTCAAGCAAACTCCAAAAGGAAACCAGCTGTTTTGCCTCGCCGCTTGGAGAAACACTCATATTGAGTGCGCCTTAAAATAAGGTCCTCCAACGAATGCTTGGTTTCCTGTTGAGTACCCTCGATTTTCCTCGTTGGTTCGAGCCCTCCCTTTCTGGGTGGAGCCCAGCGATCCCCTTGGCTTTTTAGTTGGTTCAGTGGTTGGGTTTCCGAATTTCACCCACTAAAAGCTCAAATCTCTTAGCGGGAGATCCGAAAAAGAAGAATAAAAGCAAAAAGCAGAAAACAGCCCAGGTTGTTTCGTTTTTTTTTTAGCCATGAAAACGGAGCGCCCAGGTTGTGTGGTGGTTTGGTTTCCATTTCAGCCACACAAGGGTCCGAGTTTCGGTGGCCCCCCAACTCCTTGGAGGCCTCGCGGCAGAGCTTCAGCAAGCAGCTCCGCGCCCTGCTGGCCGCGCCCGCGGACTTCCGAGGCGTCATCCTTCAAGCGGAGTCCAACTAGGGCGGCGGGTCACAAAATGTGACCCCAAGATGGGTTGCCCTATGGAAAGAAGGACTAAAACCTGCGGTGCCCTGGTTTCATTTTGACCCACTTTTTTTCCTTTTTGCCTTGGTGAGTGTCCATTCATGTCCATCATTGTACCTTTCAGCCCGAAATGGTGGGCAAGAACTTGGGTTCACACGTTTTGTCTTTTGATTTTCCCATGTTTGGTCCACGTTCAGGGGTCCCAAAAGGTGATCGCCTTTCATGTCCAGGTTGTGGCAAGTGAGTATTGCCACTCTTGTGAAAGCCTAGTGTCATCATTGGGTCAACCATTCTCGTGGGGGTTGAACTCTAGGGACAAATTGAGTCTCTAATCTAGCTTGGTTTGCAGTGGAAACTCGCGGGTTTGGGGAATGACGCGGAAGCGGTTCCCCTTGTTTTTTAACGTTTGGATAGTTCAGTTCGGGGTCATTCCTCATTCCCTGCTGAAAACCATGTGACATACGGGGCTAAATGATTACACAGTACTGTCGCCTAATGTGGTTTTAAAGTGCCCCCCACCTACGCCGCCACAGGTGACATTATGTGGGTGCTGCCAAAACTGCTACGCAGACCCACACCCAGCAGCTTACCATGGGCAGGGCTCTTTGGGCATGGCTTGCGGGATCCCTTCTTACTCTTCAGAGTCTTGCGGTTTCGAATGGTGGTGCCTCTTTCAGATTCTGGGCTTAGACGTGGCCTCATGCACCTGTGATCAGTGTGTTTTTGCAAGTAGCATGAGATGTGGCGTCCTTTTCTAGGTTCCACATTCCAACTCGAAAAGAAAACGTGTGGGTTGGCGTCAAAACCAGGGACCTCCCAAAGAGCACCGATTTCAGATTCGTGTCAGTCCTTTTTCTTAAATGTTTGCCGACCAACACTCTACTGTTTCGTTTTGATACAGCCCTACATACATCAGGCAGCCCTACGGGTTTTAGATCGTGACACACTCCCACGATTCTTATGTGATGCAGGCGAATGAAATCTGTTTGTTGAAGCTCATCTAGGGGCCCCAACGAGTTGTGTAGGGTTGTCTACAACAGGTGTTTGAAAGGACATGCTCATGCTCAAGACTCATCAGCAGGAAACCAACCACCATGATTGGTCTCCAATCTATACATACATGTACGTCATGCTTAAACGACCCTCCTAACTGGTTCGTGGGGATGGTCATGAACCGTTTAGGATGTGTTGGACGACCACAAGGATTCCTGCCATAGAAATGTTGAGCCCGGCCCACAGAACCGGAGTTTTGAGCCGGCAGCCTGGCAGCTACTTTGTCGCAGGAGCTCCCTTGACCTTCGCGCCCAGCACGTTGGAGGTGGAGCGAGCATTTGGGCTTTGGCTTTGCATGCGCCAAGTGACGTGTTAGGGTCGGGCTTGGAATCCGGTTATATAGGTGCGTGATCATCCGGTGACATAGTGCACTCCGGTATCAGCCCCTGTTAGGGTCGGGGTGCTAGTACTTTCCCATGATTTTCCTATTCGTCTTCAAAAACCTTCCAGCTTCTAGCTTGCAGTATGCTTCCTGTTGATTGGAGTCCAAAGTTGGGAAATCCTAGAAAGCTTTTTGGTTGCTTTGCGTGCTCAAGGGCGAGTGCTTCAAGCCAAGTCGGGGTTCGAATCCAGTCAGGTGTGTTGGATTTCCAAAATTCTTATTAGGAAGCTCAATCCCACTTTTCCTTAAATGTAGCCCCAAACGGCGAACTTGGCATGTTTTGGGCCTGTTCCCGTCTCTGTGGCCTTGCGTGGTTGGAAGGCTGGCCGGGGATGGTTGGAAGGTGGTCGGAAGGTGGTCGGGAGGTGGTCGGAAGGTGGTCGGGAGGTGGTCGGAAGGTGGTCGGGAGGTGGTCGGGAGGTGGTCGGAGGTGGTCGGAGAGTGGTCGGAAGGTGGTCGGAAATTGGTTGGCGGTGGTTGTTTGGAGGTTGCAGCCTGGTTCTAAAGGTGTGGTACTGTTGAAGCTTCACGTATTTCCATATTTGGGTCATGCAGTGCAATTCTTCACGCGATTTGCTTTTTAAGTACGGTTTATATCTTTTCTGATCAAAGGCCGCCCGGATAAGCCATTTGGAAATCCAACAGTCAGGTGCCTGAAGTCTCCTTCTCAACTACTTGCCGGTGCTCAGTAGCGAATGACCCAGGGTGTTGGGAATGAACCTAGGGATTCCCTTAAAGCAAACCATAGGGGAAGGTTTATAGGTCACTCCCTCATTCCCTGATGAGAACCAGCAAGAGAAGCACATTTTGAGGGCTCATGGCCATTTGACTTGAGCCAGAGAGGAACCCTGGGGGCCGGCTTGCGCCAAAGGGCTGTATGGTTCTAAGCGATTTCACCCGCGTCCTTGGGGTGCTAAAGAGCTCTTTTCTTTAGGAGATGGGAAACTTTCCAATTTGTCCGGACCCCCCCAAGTTGGCCAGTTTGCATGGGGAATTCCTATGCTCCTTTTTGAAAGTATAGTGATTTGGCCAGATGCTTTTGAAGATGGCAATGCACATGTGTCAAACTTCGCCGTGCTCTGATTTGATGTACGTAATTGTCTTTAGGCGGTGCCTGTTTGCGTTTGACTTAGTGTTATTTTCACTGAGACAGTTTGCCACGAACATGTCACTGACCCAGGCTTGAGAATGGCTGATCTTCTTGAACAATCCTTCACGTCATTCTTTGTTGTTCAGCTATGGATAGGACGCATTGAGCAACATACTTTGTGGCTGTTTCCATGACCAACTGGTACTGCTGCCCAGGGGGACATCTAAACAATTGTCCACACGGCACTGCCGGTTTTTCCTCGTCCATTTGGGGAACAGCACGTGCTGTTGCAACACATGTAGTGTGCATTTGTTTGCTTTGCTGCAAGTTCTGTCTTGAAGGTCACGGCGTAGCCTCTTTGCAAAACAAGCAAGCTTTGCCAGCAGGTCAATATAAAATATTGTAAAGTTGCGCTGACGCTGCATGCTGACAGAACAAGGGCTCAATCAATGTTGTGACACAAAAGACACCTATTTGATTCCAGCACGACTCCAGACACAACAAGGTCTTTGCGAAAGGTCTTCCACTTGGGTTCGGGGCTCATTGGTTTGTCCTCCTGGCATGTCCCACGAGTGTTGACATGTTTGTTGAAACCCTATGTCAAACATGGCGGGGTGGCTTTCGATACATCGTGGAGGTGGGTCGTGATCACCTTGGTCGAGATCCGCAGTCAAAGGTGTGCATGCATGTGGGGCCACGCGGAGCGTAGTCATACCCCTGAGTCGTGAGGTCGGTAAGACCCCTGTACTAACCGTGCCATCCCTGGTGCTTTTGTGTGCTCAAACTTCCTTTTTGCGGTGTTGGGGGGGGGGGGGGGTGGTTTTGGGGGGGGGGGGGGGGGTTGCACAGAGTTCGTTTGGCTCTGTCTTAAATTCGGATATGCCCCACCCCCGACCCGAGAATGGGGCCAGGCCAAGCAGCTCACGGAGCGAGGGCTGGGGTCCCCGGACCGAAAAGGGACGGCCGAAAGATTGAAACATCCACTTTTGGGTTTGGCCTCGCTTTTGGGCGAGGTTTTCAATTGGGAAAGGGGAAATACAGGGAGTGCTGTGAAGCAGAAGGTGGTCAGTGACATCCTTTTCCTTGTTTGGTGTGTCCCCCTACTTATGATCACCCCCGAAACAGACGCTGTCACTGCAAAGGCTGAGCATTCGAAGTCATTCCGGCGAGTGATAAGATGTTGCTTAGGATCAGCTGCAAGTTCTTGAAGGGAAGCCACGGAACAAGGAAATGAGGGGATCGTTCCCCCAGTGAAGGAGACTAGCCATCGGGATGGCGAAGACGGCCTTTCAGAGTTTCAGGGCCTGGAGGAAGCGAAAGGAGAAATCTGGAGAAGCGCTGCGGAACTGAGTTCGTCAGTGGGTTTTGATGTGCAAAGGTTTGGCGGGAGTCCAACTTGATTTAGGGTTTGGATTCAACCTGACTCTCATTGATTTATGAGGATGCGTGTCGATGAGCGAATCATTTGAGTGTGTCTTCTACCCTTCCTGGGGTAGCTTGAAAGGGAAGTCAAGGGAAGCTGCCTGGGGGAGGGGAAACTGTGGAGACGCATAGCCAAGCGCCGCTTGGCAGCCTCTGGGCATGGCGCTGAGCAGTGCACGAGAAACTGGCTTGACTGATCAAAGTTTCCGCAGATCCTCTTTCCTACATGATCTGACACATTCTCAGGTCGTGCTCCTCTACATTTGTCGTTGGATGGTGCTTTCGCTTGCATGCGCTTGCCGGTTTCATTTCGTTTCACGGTTTCCTTTGGCCTTCTGAAGGTTTCTGCCAGGTTGATGCCTAGGTTTTTGGGGGGTTCATTTCTGCGTTTGCAGAGGCACAACATCCTGAAAGACATCGCGGATGGTGATGAGTTCCTGCCAGGGCCACGGAAGGGTTCCATGGATTACAAGGTAGACCACATCTCTCAATTTGGAGACCAACAAAATGATTGGAATCCTTCTGGTTTCCCAACCAGCCTCAATATGGTGCCCTGGAAAGCACAAAAACAACGATATATGTATATATATATACACATGCACATGTTTTGATTACAAGGTAGACTTGAAGCCATGGGTTCTTGGGAGAAATTAACCACTGGGTTGTTCACCTGGTCACATTGGAAGTCACGGCAATCTGATGCAATCTGGAGCAGAGATGTCACGGCAATGCGAGCAAAGTGTTGGCTTGCGAGATTGGTTGTTAAAGGTTAGCTTGCCAAACGCAGTTTGTTGAAGGCTGCTAGGTCGGGGTTAATATGTTTATTGTTTTTGGGGGTTATCAAGGTCTGAAACTGGGGCTGTTGCTCCTCAACTTATAACTTACCGATTGCTAGTACTTCAAAGGGACCCACAAGGGTTAGCAAAAGAGACACCCACCTTCCCCCCCTTGATAAATGTCGCCACAAACCAAGCACACATTTACGTTACAGAAGCTATATTGTGGCCAATGCTTCTACCAGTACTAATTTCCTTCAGAGTCTTAAGGGTTGCTTTCCCCAAAACCGAAAAAAGCTGCCAGCCGGAAAGGACAAAGCGTTCAAGGTTTGACAAGCTCAGAAAGGCAGTTCCTAGAACAATGACAACCCCCCTTAATCCTCTTTGCAAGCTCACCTCGGAGAAAACAAAGCTCACCTGACTTGGTTCTTTGTTTGGCGTTTTGTGAATTGCAATTTGCGAAGATGACTGTGTGACACTGGGGAGGAACGGGGTCACTTTGGGCAGCGCTTCACTGCGCATTTCGTCAGCGTCCAATCCAGTGGCTCCGACGGGAACTCCCTGACAATGAAATACTTCCCAAAGCAATCCGTAACTTCTGGGCGAAAGACAAAGTGTTCTCATGCGCCGGTTTTGACAGGCCTCCAATGGATGTGCAACGTGTATCCGACCCCCCTTTCATTTTGGAAGGGACATACGCGGTTTCGACCTTGCCTTCTAATCCGGAGAAACATGCTATTATCTACACATGGTTTCTTATTCAGACCAACAAATATGTTTGTGCCCACTTTGCTTACCTGCAAGATGCACGACATTGTGTGCCGCTGCCACGTTCCCGAGGCCCATCCCGTTGGTGCGCTGCCTCAGCGCCCTCTCAGAGGCAAGACTGGATCAGGGGCATGGCTGTGAGCTGAAACAACCGTGCCCTGGTCTATGGTGGGAGACGGGGTGTTGGGTGACTCTCACGGACCTGTGAAAGCGACAAGTAGGCTTCGGGGTTCCCTTCGCTATCACAGAAAGTCATGGCCAGTTTCAAAGGATATTGAATGGATGTTTGAACATCAACGGCCCAACCCTGCGGAAGTTTTGCTGCGTAGTCTGTGATTTACATGTGTACATAGCCGGGACTACCAGTTTTTCAGCACGCGGGGCTGTGTGGCAATATTTTCCGCTGAAATAGTATCAGAGGATCCATGTTCGCCCACTGGTTATTCCTCAAGCCAAGACTCCAGGATCACATGGTCGCATATGTGCTTTTGTGAAGAGGAGTCCTCCTTTTGCCATGTTTGCAAGGATGATTGGCCAAGCCTTTTGAACTGCCCGGGGGGAACCTTGGGACGAACAAAAAAGCAAATCGAAGTGCGAAGTCGAAGGCAGCCAGGAAATGATAGCACCTTGGCAAGAGACTAGATGGAGCCGAAGACGCTTCAAAAGCTAGATGGCTCAAATGATTCGCCCTCTTCCTCATGGACAAGTTTGTTCCTCTCCAGGATTCAACAGTTGGGCCATATACCCAAAGGGTCACACTCGCCCATTATTGCAGGGCTTTGGAGACAGATACACTTTGAGGGTGTCCTTCGTTTCCCATCACAGGATTGACCCGCACTAGAGGTATTCAAGGGATTGTATCATCATGGAAAACCAGCCGGACTTTCCCGTTGCATTTGGGCGAAAGTAGACAACCGATTCTATCCTT